TGGCATGTATGCACTTATGCAGCAGTCCTGCAGGATGCAGGATGTGCGTGTGTACCCCAGAGCCTAAAGTACCATGAAAAAAAAAAAGTAGCTCATCCCTACTCTTACTGACTTTGAGGATTCTGGAGAGCAGGGTGGAATAGAGACACTGGCTGGATAAGAGGCCTGCACGGAGATCTGGAAGCTTGTTACCTTAGGTATTCTCCCACATCATCCCATACTCCTGAGGGAGGGCTGGCTGAGTCGCTAACTCTTAACCCTTCTTTCTTTGGATGCTAGGAGGCTCACCTGCAAAGATGACCAGCCCGAAGCACCACTCGGTGTTTCGCAGCACACAGCCCCGCAGCAGCATGTTCTGGTTGCTCAGGGGGAACTTGTTTTCCTTCCAGTAGAGGGTTCCGCTGAATTTGTCCAGTTTGTTGTTGGGAGGTTCACAGATCACTTCACCTGAATGGAAGACAAGAGTTTCACTGCTCAAGTACTGCTCCAGTCTACAGCCTGCTCACAAGACCATAAAACAAAGAGAAAATGAGCTGAGGGAGAGGATGCAAGAACAAGGGTCCATCTATATGCTGCTGCTGGGAGTGTGAGCTGATGCAAGTCTTCAAGAAAATAATGAAGCAGGTCAGGCGTGGTGGCTCACACCTGTAAGCACTGTGGGAGGTCAAGGCGGGCGGATCACTTGAGGTCAAAAGTTCGAGACCAGCCTGGCCAACATGGTGAAACCCTGTATCTACTAAAAATAAAAAAATTAGCTGGGCATGGTAGTGGGCATCTGTAATTCCAGCTACTCAGGAGGCTGAGGCAGGAGAATCACCTGAACCTGGGAGGTGGAGGTTGCAGTGAGCCGAGATCGCACCACTGCACTCCAGCCTGGGCGACAGAGTGAGCCTCTGTCTCAATTTAAAAAAAAAAAAAAAGAAGCAGCAGCATAACCTAATATTTGCTTGTATAAACATATATGAAAAAGTGTGAATGAATACACACTGACTATCAGTTAATGTGGCTACCTATGCAGGGTAGAAGAGGGAAGAAAAAGCTATTTTCTTTTTTTTTTCTTTTTTTTTGAGACACTCTCACTCTGTTGCCCAGGCTGGAGTGCAGTGGTGCGATCTCAGCTCACTGCAAACTCTACCCGCCAGGTTCAAGCCATTCTCCTGCCTCAGCCTCTCGAGTAGCTGGGACTACCGGTGCCTACCACCACGCCTGGCTAATTTTTGGTTTTTTTTTTTTTTTTTTTTTTGAGACAGAGTTTCGCTCTTGTTACCCAGGCTGGAGTGCAATGGCGCGATCTCGGCTCACCGCAACCTCCACCTCCTGGGTTCAGGCAATTCTCCTGCCTCAGCCTCCTGAGTAGCTGGGATTACAGGCACGCGCCACCATGCCCAGCTGATTTTTTGTAGTTTTAGTAGAGACGGGGTTTCACCATGTTGACCAGGATGGTCTCGATCTCTTGACCTCGTGATCCACCCGCCTCGGCCTCCCAAAGTGCTGGGATTACAGGCGTGAGCCACCGCGCCCAGCAATTTTTGTATTTTTAATAGAAACAGGTTTCACCATGTTGGCCAGTCTGGTCTCGAACTCCTGGCCTCAAGCGATCTGCCCACCTCAGCCTCCCAAATTGCTGGGATTACAGGTGCAAGCCATAGTACTGGCCTCTATTAACTTTTTCTTACATACTCTGTATGGTTTGTCTTATAAGAAGCATATATTATTATTCCAAGCTAATAAGCAAAAAGAATAAGCTGAATTTCTCTCAGCATGCATAGCACATGGGGCGCTATCAGCCACAAAGTTCCCTTGAAATCATCATCATCAACTCACAACCAAGAGGTAGCCACACGACATTATCAACACTCCCCTCCCCCAAAACAGTCCTGGGAGTTGGATAATCATAACAACAAAAAGCCCAAAGGAAAAGGTATCATTTAGCTCCCCCCAAACAAAACCCAGCCCCCCTCCTCTGCCTTCAGGCTACTCCTCCAAAGATTACTCACCATCAAACTTGGCAAGCTTACTGATGTCTCCCAATTCTGAAGTGACTGGAATCGCCTGACGTACTTTCATGTTGGTCTCGCTGGAAAGACAGTATCCCTGAGTCCCCACTCCTTCCTCAACCTCTAAATGTTTTTTTTTAATAGATCGCTCTGTTGCCCAAGCTGGAGTGCAGTGGCACAATCATACTGAAGCCTCCAACTCCTGGGCTCAAATGATCCTTCCACCTCAGCCTCCCAGGTAGCTGGGATTATAGGCATTAAAACTATCATGCCCAACTAATTTTTTAACTTTTTAAATTTTTTTTTTTTTTTTTAATAGAGACGAGGTCTCACCATCTTGCCCAGGCTGGTCTCAAGCTCCTGGGCTCAAGCAATCCTCCCACACTGGCCTCCCAAAGTGCTGGGATTTACAGGAGTGAACCACCATGCCCAGCCTTCCCCATCCTCTAAATTCTACCCGGGGCACGTAAGCATGGGGCATAGCTGCTTAGCCCAGCAAATACTGGTTGAATAATACTTCTTACATCCAAAGCCTTTCTTACCCCTAATTTTGCCAAATTCAGACAGAGCCCAGACCTAAGAACCTCGTTCAAAGACAATCTTTTTACCTCCAAAGAGACAGAAGGAGAGGGCTGACACTGAGCATGCCGCTTACCCATCCAGTTCTGCTGTCTCTATGTAACACAGCCCATGGGGCTCACTGCTGGAAAGGAGGAGGAGATCCGCCTAGAGAGAAAACCTAATGAGAAGTCCAAATATGCAAACCTCCACCCCCAGTGGGCTGTGATGATGGCTCCTTCCACTAAGCATTCTTGGTTTGCTTAGTTCCAGGTGCATCAGTGGCCCCTGACATGAGAAAGTTTCCTGCCGTGGGCGGGTGGGTGTTTAAGAGGCAACAGTAAATCAGGAAGGCTTCATCCCTTTCTGACACAGAAGAGGAAGAATGCTACAGGCCTAGAGGGGTACCCTGTCCCTTACCGCGACAAACTGGTTATTTTCTAGCTTGATAATATCACCAACACAGACATTCATCCACTGCTCCTGCTGGAGGCTGAGGCAACGAGAAGACAGTGAAGAGGCTGTCAGGAGCTACAGCGGCTCCCAGGGGACCCTCTTCCTCCCCAGAGCCCTCGTCTCCAGCAGGCACTCACATTCCATTGATCAGCACCTGAGACTGGCGGTTATTCACCTGGTTATCACTCTTGTGGCGGAACTGAAAAGAAGAAAACTGTAAAAGGTAAGACACCATTCCCTGCCTGGAAGGAATTCGCTGATCAGGAGAACTCAGAGCGCGTAGAGTAACGCCTCATACACACCCCATCACAAACCAGTTCTCCCCCCACCCCCATAGCAAAAAGACACCATGGATCTAGCCGGATGTCAAGGAAACCAAAAAAACTGTGCTGGATGAAGGTGGCTGTGAGTTGGGAGTGGGTGTGGGAGTAATGGTGGGTGACTGGGACAAAATAGCAGAATTAAAACAACTCACATAGTCATCAGTGGCATCTTTAACAGCTGTGATGGTGAGGACAAGAACCAAAGGCACAATGGTGGTGAACCAGGACAGGGAAGAGATCTGTGGGATCAACTGAAAGGAAGAAAGAGAAGCATGCCTCCGAAACCCCATCTGATGCCTTCCTTCCCCTTCCTCTTTCTTGACTTTATTCAGTTTGGGGAGCTGCAAAAGATCTACTATGTATGGGTCACCTACCTGCAGAATGAGGAGGAACAGGAAGTAAGTATTGGCAACTTCCTGGAACTGCTCAAAGAGGTTGACAGGCAGGAAGGTGAGAATATTGTACTTGGAAGTCTTGATGCAGTTACTCTATGGCAGTAGGAGAGAAGATAAATGAGCAGCCTCCAGCCCCCACCCAGAACCAGACTGAAGCTGCCTCACCATCTTTATACTTCCCCAGATCTCTGCCCCAAAAGCCAGCAGTAACAAGTGTGGGAGGGGGAAAGAGGAGGAGAGAAGGGAGTCTCAAGGGGTCAATGCATTCTGCTTCACTGACAGGTGAAGGCATGAAAAATTCAGCACAGTAGCAGATGGAGAGTGGCTAAAGTGGGTGCCTTCCCCTCTCCCAAGCACTCTTCCCCGGCAGCCCTCAGTCCCAGCGTAGGCTGTCCTTGCCCCTTTCCCCTCTCCAATCAGAGAGAAGGAACAGGTGGTCTGGAGTCACTTACCGCATACTGGAATTTCTCATTGTATTCTCGGTCATTAGCCCGCGCCCTCCTTTCTTCTTCTGCAACAAAATGATGCTGCAGTCAGGAGGAGCAAACTGAGGTCTGGACCAACACTTTGTGAGGGTTCCCTGGTTTTTTCCACAGAATATCGTTAAGGAGTTAGCTCCACAACTGAGGGGTCATCAAATTCTTCCCTCCAGCCCACCTTGCACCAGTGGCCTGACCCACAGCTCTCCAGGTTACACTCACAGGACAAGGCGTGTTCTCTTCTCCTCACCACCAACCTTCAAGGTCTACAACTGGGAGCACCCAGTTTGTCTCCCCCACCCCCACTCCAGGGGAATCTTAGCCATTGACAGTCTTGGGATTCCCCAGCCCCTTTTGCTGCTCTTAGTAATGCATACATCGTCATAACCAAGGAGTGGCGCTGAAAACACAAAGCCGCCTTCCCCCTGGGGACCACTGCAGACCTAGCCGCTGTACTGCTCTCTCCCTATTTCGAGGGTAGGGTAGGTGGCAAGAAGGAGGGTCACTGTGCCCTGGAGCTGCGCTGCGGCAGCATCCCAGCCCCACGTGCAGTCCCCCCTACAGGAGCCTCTGCTTGTCACATGTCACCAGCAGCTGCTTCTGACTGGCCCACAATGACATCACCTTATTTCAAAGCTCATCTTCAAGTAGAAAAGGTGGGGGGTGGTCAGGGATATGGGTCATGCAGACTGAGACAGAGATGGAGGAGGGAGGAATGAAATGTAATTGAAACAGTTGCTCTCTAACTGGACCTTCCTTGTGCCATCTGCACGCATTTCCCTTAAAGGGCTCATCTGTCACTCAGTTAGTGACACTTAAACCTATCTCAAGCCTCTGCAGGTCTGGGACTGCAGGCACCAAATTCATGTCCCAGAACAAGGAGCTGTCCTATCATGGATTTCCCAGCCCATCTCCCCGGGGGTCACCATGACCTCATGCTGCAAAAGGGGGTAACTTGGTTAGGCAGTAAACCTAATGCCTTAAACCTGTCCAGGAGCCAAAGACAGCATTCCAGAATCTGTTCCATACACCCCAGAACCCCTGCAGAGCACACTGCAGTAACAAAACCCCAGGCCACAGTGCCCCCTGCCTACCAAGCCACTTCACTCCCAAAAACTTCCCTAGAGGGGCTCCCTTGGGCTGAGTCCCCTGCGCAATCACCAAAGACCATGCAAAGGAAGATGGTAGGAACTGTACCCTTAGGAGCCAGGAATCTCTGGGTCTGGAAAGAGGATCAGAGAAGGTTGGGGGAGGCCGGGGACAAGTGAATGTGGGGATTGGAGGGGGGAATAATTGGTAGCCAGGCGCTGCCTCCCGTTACCTGTCCCCCAAGAGGGCTTCTTTCGGCTCCAAGAGGGAGGTGGCCGGGCCCGAGCCCACTTCTCGGGCATCTCCTTGGGGACAGTCATGATCCCAGTTTGAGTGGGGGACGGCAGACCGTCTATATGTCCTTGGCCTTAGCGGCATCGAAGGGGCGGCTCCCCGGGGAGGTGCAGGAGCCGCGGCCGCTCAGAGGGGAGCCCCGGCCGTCGGGCGCGCGCCCCACTCGCAGCCCAGGCCATCCTCCCAGCCGCGGGCCCTCGGGGACGCCGCGAGCTCAGCAGCGCGGTCGCCGCCCCCCATTCCCCCCAGCGGACGCCAGCGTGCGCTGAGTGGCCCCGGACGCGCCGAGCACGCCCAGGGCTCCGCCCCCGCCCGCTCCCCAACTGCAGGGGCCGCAGCCTGCCAGCGCGCCGCGTAGGCGAAAGCTCGCGCGCGAGCCCCGCCTTCCCTCCCACCCCCGGGCCTGGCCAATGCGGGGCCGGGCCAATGCGGGGCCGGGCCAATGCGGACTGCCAGCGTTGTCGGGGGCAACCGCTTTCACGCACACACACCCCCGCCCGCGGGAAAACCAGGAAGACGGGTGGATGGAAAAATGAGGGGGGCAGGGAGGGGGTGAAAGGACCGAGCAGAGATGAGAACACAGCTCCCTAGGCTAGAGAGCAGGAGCTGCAGGTGCCCCAAGACTGCAGATGTTTCGGGGCAGGAAGGTGGGAGGGAGCTGGTGCTCAGCGCCGTCCTGGCAGATAACCGAGCCTTGGAATCAAGCGGAAGAATTCGGTTTCCTCGGCTCCCTCCAAGCTGGATAGGGGCTGTAAGCTACCCTCCCTCAGACCCATACCACTTGTCCCTTCTCCCTTTGCTCCCTGAGCCATAACACCCACTCTTGATGGTTCCCGGGATCTCCCCTCCTTGCCTGTCTTACCTGGGGGGCGCTTTTTTGCACACAGTGCCATCTCACCCAGCAAGATCCCAGCAATCCCATGGGAGACCCTGCAAGAAGGTGACAGATGAATGAGGTCAGGAAGCTGATGGTAACTCTTCCCTCCCCTCATGAGATCCCTTTTGAAGACCCTCTTCTCCAGCTCTGACCTTGCCCCTCCCCCAGCCTCCTCCTCCCAGTCTCTCCTCTTACTGCCCTGATGGGTCTCTGGGAAACAGGGGATTTCCCCACCACCTCCCATCATCCCCCTGCCTTGGGTGACATGGGGGGGCTGAGATTTTACAGAAGCCAAGGCCTGTAGGGAAAGAAGAGGCCAGATATTGAAAAAAGGGGCACAGCTCTCAAGGTATCCATCCCAGGGACAACGGAGGCTCCCAGGTGTTCTGATGGCAACGAGTAGTGCTTGTGCTTACTAGAAAGCAGTTTCCCCAAAGGGTGGGGTGGAGGGAGCATAAGCCAGGAAACACCTGGCAGGGCATCAGGAAACAGGGTGGGCAGGCTCCACCCTTCTCGAAATGCTTAAAAGTTCTCCGTCATCCCACCCCCCATTACTGGGGCTTCCATTATCACCTCCTCCGGGGGGAGCTCACATTAGAGGCATGGCCGTCACTTTCTGCACAGACAGTCCCCAAACAGCTTCCTCTCAACCTGGGTCAGCCACCTTTCTGGGCTGGCAGAGGGATCTTCCCAACCCTAGTGGGGAGTTCACCCCTCCTTCTCTCCCACCGCAAGCCTAGTCCAGTCAGCATGGCACTGGGCAGGGTAAGGGAGTGCCAGTGAGACAGGCCTGTGCCTGCTCCACCTTCCCATGTCCTTTCTTTCGCCCAAAAAGGTTCAAGGCCTGGCCTTACAAGGCAGGGTCACAGAGCCTCATCCTTATTCCCCAGCCTGGCCCAAAGGAAACCGCCAGTCAGTCATCTCCTCTTTCTTTGTCTGGGTGGAAAGCCTTTCAACTCCTCATCCTCTTTGGTTCCCCCTGCTTCCAGCCTACCAGTCACACCCCACCGGCCTGTCAGCCCCAAGAGATACTAATTGCGTGTCTGGCCAACCTCTATAATTACAGACTCTTCCATGACCCAGTCACCCACACCAGTTCTCCCTTCACCAGCTCAGATCCCACCCTTAATGCCAGGTCAGACAATCCTGAAAGCCAGAAGTCCTTTTCATCCCTGACCCTCTCCAACTATGGCAGGCAAGGGTGCCTGGCTCAGGAAGAAAAACCTCATCCACATTTTAGAGATGCCAAGCCCTCCTTCAGGGCCCCCTGCCAGGGTCTCCACCCAGTCTGAGTATGAGTCACAGGAGGGTGGGGCGCACAGGGAGAGGTTAAAGGATGCAAGGGTGGGCATCACAAGTTCTACAGGCAGCCCCGCCCTTGGGGAGGAAGGGATCAAGACACACTATCAGCCTGAAGATCTGAGTTTGAGTCCCATGAAAGAGTTAAAGTAGGAGCTGCACACACCCTCAGGAGCCAGGAGTCTGGATACGGACCAGGAAAGTTGTTTTACCTCTGAGACCCTGGGGAGACTGGAAGGAGGCTTGGCCCCAGACCTCATCCCCTCTGGGGGGGTTGGGGGGAGCCATGATTCCAAGGGAAAGGGAGGAGAGACCTGGGAACAGGGATCACTCTCACTTTTCCTTCTCAGTCTCACACAGCCTGGGTTTTCTGAACAGGTCAGGCTCCTCAGCCACGTTGCCCTGCCCCGTCACCCTGCCCCAGCCCCCTCTCGGCCACATTTGGGATAAAAATAGCCAGCCCCGGCAAGGAGGCAATGCTCCATGGAGGAAAACAGCTCCTCCTATAGGTCCGGTCTCTGCTTCCTTCCAAGCAAGAGCCCCAAAAGGCTGGCCACTTCTTTCAGAGGAGGCTGGCAGGTCAGGGAAACAGGAGGAAATGGAAGACCCCCAGGTCACTGGCCACCAACACGAGCTCGGGCCACCTTCCCTCACCGAGGACAGAACTCAGGGCACAGCTATCATCTCCCAGAGCTCCCGCCCCTCCTGACACACTCGGTTTTCCGCGGGCAGAGACAGACTTCCACCTTAGAAAGACAAAGCCTACCAGCCCAAACTCCCTTCTCCAGGCACCGAACCCTCGGGTCCCGGCTACTCCTCTCGCCCCACAACTCTCTGGGCGGGTCTCCCTCGGCGGAGGCTGCACGAGATTCTCCTGGGCACTCGCGCCGCTCTCCTGCTCTCCACGCGCCCCTTCGGCACCCCATCCTCCCACCCAGCACACAGTCCCCCGCTCTGCCCGGTCCCCGGGCACCCGACAGCCCCTGCTCTCCAGTCGGCCGCCACCCGCCCCCGGTCTGGCAGCAGCTCCCTACTCCCGGTCCCCGGTGCTCCCCCATCCACACCCGCTCCCGGGCCCCTCCAGCCCCGCGGCCGCCGCCGCATCCCTCTGCCATCCCGGCCCCGCGCTCCCGGGCGTCCCCGCCTCGCCTCGCCTCACCTCAGCGCTCAGCGCTCGGCGCCCGCCCCGGCGGCCCCGTCCTGCCCATGCTGGGGGCTGGGGCGGGGGGCGCTCGGCTCGGCTCCCCGCGGGCTCCCGCCCCCCCAGCTGCGGCCCCGCTCCCCCGGGGCCTCTGCCCGCTACTTTGTGTCAGTTTCGGCCACGGCGGGGCGGAAGTGACGGAGCTGGCGGCGGGGCCGGGGGGCGGGAGGGGGTTTTGGGGAGGGGAGAGGGATCTGGGAGGAGGGAGCAGCCATCTTTGTGCGGGGCAGGGGGAGGGTCTTAGCCCTTCCGAGGCTCGGCGTGGCCAGGCTGGGATCCCCCCACACGCACGTCCATCTGCCTCTTAAAAGAAAAAACAATTCGGGAGGCTAGATCGTTCAGAGGGTTTTTTTAATTTGGAAAAAAGGAGTAGAGGAACTCTGCCTTCTCTGCAAAACGAGCATCCTCTGCAGGGAGCGGCGGGAGAGCTGTAGAAGTGGTGAACAACCAGAATTCTCCCCGGCGCCAGGTTGCCCTCAGGCCCCGACTCTCGCTCCTCGGAGCCGTCCACCCTCTGTTCCTTCACCCTTTCTCCTCGCCCTGCTTCATCTCACTGTATCTCACTCTCCTTGAATGAACGACGCCGCACCGAGATGTCGAGGAACCATGCCTCAGTTTCCCCGCCTTGCTCTCGGTCTCTGTGCCCCGCCTCCCTCCCTCCCTCCGCCCCCACCACGCCCCCTAGGTGGTGGCGGCCTCCCCACCCCTAACTACCCGCTGCGAGAGGCTTCCCGAGAGGGTGAAGGCGGGAGGCGCCGGGGCGATGAAAGCTGGGAGTCGGCAGTCGGGACAGGCTGTGGAGGGCAGTCCCCAGGGTTGTGCCCTACCCTGGATGGTGGCCCCCTCCGCCCTGCAGATGCCCACAGCCGTCCCCGTCCAGCGTCCGGGTGCGCACCCTCTAGCGGCTACCTCGAGTAATTACGTTCCAAGAGGCCCGGAGGGTCAGAAAACCGCTTTGTGGGAGGAGGGGGATGAGAAGGCTGAGTCCCGGTACCTTATCCTCCTCCGCTTCTCCCTGTCCAGGATCCTTCTTAGGAGGAAGGGGTGCCATGTGGGTAAACGGGAAGGCTCCCAGGTTCTGGCACATGAACAAGGAGGAAGAATAACTGTTGCTCCCAGGCGGGGTCAGTGATGGCTCCAGGGTCCACGAGTGAAGTGAGGATTGGCCTAATCATAGCTTACACTCCAGCATCTGTGCTGAGGCAGGAGTTTCCAACTCTGAGGCTTTACGTTGGTCAGACACCAGATGCTGAACTGGCTCTGGGTCCTCAGGATGGTGCAGAGCCACCAACAGCTGGTAAGTGGCTGTGCCAAGCGTGGCCCCCACCATAGGGGCCACCACAGGCACCCACCACCAGCCATTACCAGCACTGCAAAAGAAGGACAATAGGAAGGTATCAGGAGTGACTCCCTTAGCCTCCCCCTCTCCAAGGACCAGGGGCAGTAGCAAGAGAGTGCCCTAAAGTTGTTCCTGGAGTGGTGGACACCAGGAAGGAGATTGCTTTGTCACCAAAGCATAGTATTTAGAAAAGGGAACCCCAGGAGAGCTCTGTCCAGCCTCTTGCCTTAGGGAGTGATCTGAATATATTAATTTTGCTGATGAAGTCTCTAATGTGCACAGAGGTAATATGGCATGCTTAAGAACACAACCTCTAAATCTTACTGTGTCAGTGAAAAGTGGGAGGGAAGCAAGGGAGAAAGAGGGAGCATGTGACTTGCAGAAAGAACATTGTCCTAAGAGGCCAAGAGAGCTATTTAAAGACAGACTTTTTGGACCCAGGGACAGAGCCCTTAGCAGAGGAAGACGAGTGGAGGCCAGCACCAGAAGAAGGTCTCTCCCACCTGAAGACTTCAGGACCCCAGCCAGCCACGTAGGTGAAGAGACGCGGGCCCAGGTCCCGGGCCGGGTTGAGTGGAACCCCGCAGTTGGCACCCATGGATAACCCGATGGCCAAGACCAGCATCCCCACCACCACAGGCTCCAGACCCGCAGGGACTCCCTTGTTCCGTCTGTCCAGGATGGCCAAGAGCCCCACAATCAGCATCCCGGTGCCCAGAACCTTGGAGTCAACAGAGGCAGAGGGGTCCCCGTCAGCTTCCAGGTGCTCCATCTTCCCTCTCTAATCCAAATGCTCCATGTCGTCTAGCTTTGTGCAACACAGGCAGTTGGGGATGGTAGGGGGTGCCGAGATAGACCCAACCTACACTCTACCCAGAGACTGAACAATGGGCTGGGGTCCCGAGGAACAGGGCGAATGCTGGGTCCCCAGACCTCCCCCTCACACCTACCTGATCCAGGAAGCCATTGTTCAGGGACAGATAGGGGGCAGGGTAGGTGGCAAAAATAGAGGCTGTCTCCTTGGGACCAGTCACTGTCAGGTTCCCACCTGTATAGTTCTGCAGGGCGTCTGTGGACGAGGGGAACACCCAGGATGTCCCTCTTTGCTTGTTCATCCAAAACCATTCTGAGGCACCCCTGCCCACCCACAGGTGCTCCCAAGGCACGGCTCCCTCTGTTCCCTCTGTCACCGTAGTAGAGAACATAGGTGGCTCCCGAAGCACAGAAAGCAGACAGCAGCTGCACCAAGATGTAAATAGGGAGCTTGACCCAGGGGTGGCGTCCAAGGAGGCACATGGCCAGGGAGAAGGCTGGATTCAGGTGGGCCCCTTCAAGGATCAAGGAAAGAAATACAGAATCTATTAAGTGTCACTGCCAAGCATTGTCACCAGACAGCACCGCTGCTTCTTCCTACAGCCCTTAAGGGAGGTGGTATAATTTCCATCGCACAGCTTAGGAAGTTGAGGCTCCAGGATATTAAGCAATTTATCAAAGTCACACTGTGGGCTGGGCACAGTTGCTCATGCCTGTAATCACAGCACTTTGGGAGGCCGAGGCAGGTGGATCACTTGAGATCAGGAGTTTGAGACCAGCCCAGCCAACTGGTTAAAACCCATCTCCACTAAATACACAAAAATTAGCCAGGCGTGGTGGCAGGCACTTGTAATCCCAACTATTTGGGAAGCTGAGGGAGGAGAATTGCTTAAACCAAGGAGGGAGAGTTTGCAGTGAACACCCATCACACCACGACACTTCAGCCTGGGCAACAGAGTGAAACTCCATCTCAAAAAAAAAAAAAAGAGGCCGGGCGCAGTGGCTCAAGCCTGTAATCCCAGCACTCTGGGAGGCCGAGGCGGGTGGATCACAAGGTCAAGAGATCGAAACCATCCTGGTCAACATGGTGAAACCCCATCTCTACTAAAAATACAAAAAAAGGCCGGGCGCGGTGGCTCAAGCCTGTAATCCCAGCACTTTGGGAGGCCGAGGCGGGTGGATCACGAGGTCAAGAGATCGAGACCATCCTGGTCAACATGGTGAAACCCCATCTCTACTAAAAATACAAAAAATTAGCTGGGCATGGTGGCACGTGCCTGTAATCCCAGCTACTCAGGAGGCTGAGGCAGAATTGCCTGAACCCAGGAGACGGAGGTTGCGGTGAGCCGAGATCGCGCCATTGCACTCCAGCCTGGGTAACAAGAGCGAAACTCCGTCTCAAAAAAAAAAAAAGAAGACACTGTGAGTCCAAGGTTGGAACCTAGGTCTGCCTGCTTCATCCCCAGCAACACACTATGTCTCAAGGCTCCAGCCAGCCACAACGAGGCACTGTGTATCTGTGGACAAGCAGGAGAGGTCCTGAGCAGAGATGAGCCCCCAGAGGACTTCGGCGGGGAACACAGAATGACAGCCCTCTGTGCCTGCCATAGATTTCTACCTAGGTGAGCCAAGCATTCGTGTGAGGAAGAGGGATGGAGAGATACAGAAAGGGGATGGGCTGATGGGGCCAAAGGCTCATCTCAGTCTGGGGCACTGGTCAAGCTCAAGGAGATAATGTCCATGAGTCACAGAAGGATTTGCCTTTCCACCGTCACCAGACAGACATGCTCACATGCACGTCCCACCAGCTCCGATGACCAGACCCCTCCCTCCTCACCTGAGACATTACCACCCACGTAGATGGCTATCGTGACAGCCAGAGAGCCAGCCAGAAACATGGTGAAGAAGTTGCCTTTGTCTTCTCCACTGGTGACAGCCTGGGCCACAGCTCCTTGGGTGAGGAGCTGGGGAGAAGAGGAGAGATGAGGAACAGGGAGCCCCAGAGACCAGCAGGGAGAAGGTGGGGAAGGCCAGGGGAGCAGCCGAGGAGACGAAGCAGCACGGACGACAAGCACAGAAGGGAGAAAAGCAGAAGGGGAGGGAAAAGAAAGGGGACAGTGGAGGAAGAAGAAACGGAAACAATGTGGGAAGAAAGATGACGTAGAAGAGGAAGGAGGTTAGGAGAGACGAGAGGATGAAAACGAAAGCGACTGGGAGTTGGCAGGAGGGGGATACCAGGAGAAAGAGATAAGGACACCAGAAGGAGCCCGGAACTTTTGCCCACCTCCCTTCTTCCCTCCCCCAGTTACCCGACCTACCATGAGCACAAACACACCCAGAAACTCTGCCAGGCACTGCCGGGCCAGGAGGCTGCGTATCTGGAGGTGGCCCCTGACTTCAGCCCGGGCCTGAGTGAAGACCATGGTGGAAACACCCTGTGCTGCTCACTCTCCCTCCGTCTGCATAGGCACACTGCCGCTGCACGGCTACTGCCTGCCCTCAGCCAAGATAAGGAGGAGACTTTAAAACCATTAGCTCAGTTACTGAACAGCGGCTACTGTCTATGCACGTGTGTAGGCTAGGAAACAGATAACAGAAGAATGTCTGGGAGCAGGCTCCGAGCACAGAGCCCGGCATTTGCGCAACCTCTGCCTCGTCTCTGCTTTATCCGCATTCATCACAGGACTAGCCTCCCTCACCCTGACAGATTGAAGGAAGTACCCTGCTTCATATACATTCGATCTCTTGGTCCTGAAGCCAGCTCCGCAAAGTAGCCCTATTGCTTCCATTCTACAGATGAGGCTACTGGGCCTTAGAAGTCCCCAAGATCACACACTTTTTTCTCTTTTTTGAGAGAGAGTCTTGTTCTGTCACCCAGGCTGTGGAGTACAGTGGTACCATCTCAGGTCACTGCAACCTCCGTCTCCCAAGTTCAAGCGATTCTCCTGCCTCAGCCTCCCAAGTAGACGGGACTACAGGTGTGTGCCACCACACCCAGCTAATTTTTATATTTTTTAGTAAAGATGAGGTTTCACCATGTTGGCCCGGCTGGTCTCGAACTCCTGACCTCTAGTGATTCACCCACCTCAGCCTCCCAAAGTGCTGGGATTACAAGTGTGAGCCACTTCGCCCGGCCCAAGAGCGCACAATTATTTCATGGCTGAGTGAATTCCAATCCAGATCTTCTGACTTTCCATCTGGTAGCCCACAAAGCCTCTCATTTAGAACCTGAAGCCTTTCCCCAAACCATTTGGATGCTTGAAGAACTCAATAGGCATCTGGAGAGATGAGGCTAAAGACCGTAGACTGTGAGAATAAAACCCACACAGTGAGTGCTTGTACTTCCCGAATGCAGAGTCTCACATTGGTTAGAGAATGCTCTGTCTTTGTGTCCCCCAACATGGCTTGACATGAAGCCTTCACACTCACGCTGAGCTCCACCTGGCCTTCTCTGGGTGCGTGCCACTCTTGCTCTGCATGAAGTAAGCGCACCCTACTTCATATCTCAAGCCTCCAATTAAATGCATTCGAAGAATCAACTTCTAAATTTAAATTTAAAGTGAAAGCAAGTTTATTAAGAATGTAAAGGAGTGGCTGGGCGTGGTGGCTCACGCCTGTAATCCTAGCACTTTGGGAGGCCAAGGTGGGTGGATCACCTGAGGTCAGGAGTTCAAGACCAGCCTGGTCATAATGGTGAAACCCCATCTCAAAAAAAAAAAGAATGTAAAGGAGTAAAAAAATGACTACTCCACAGACAGAGCTGCCCTGAGGGCTGCTGGTTGCCCATTTTTTGGTTGTTTCTTGATGATATGCTAAACAAGCTGCGGATTATTCATACATCCCCTTTTTAGACCATATACAGTAACTTCCTGTCATTTCCATGGCATTTGTAAACTGCCATGGCGTTGGTGGGAGTTTAGTTGAGGACGACCAGAGGTTACTCTCACGGCCATCTTGGTTTTCGTGGGCTTTTTTACTGCAATCTGTTTTATCAGCAACGTCTTTATGACCTGTATCTTGTGCCAACCTCCTAACTCCTCCTGTGACTTTGAATGCCCTAACTGTCTGGGAATGCAGCCCAGTAGGTCTCATTTTACCCAACTCCTATTCAAGATGGAGTTCCTCTGGTTCACAGGCCTCTGACAATCTTGCTTTCCTGTCTTCCTTGCATGTGTATTTCCCCAGAGTGACAGCACTCACCAATAAACCCTGTTTATGTATGTCTTCATTTTAGTCTTTTTCAGGGAGATGCTTGGTGCCAAGAGTGGTCCTAGTGAACATTCTCTAAAATGGGATTCGTATGATAGATCATTCTCCTGGCTGGCAGTAAGGACTATGGCGTGGTGGTAGGTAGAGGTTGGATAGTCTCTAGCATGCTTTAGTAATGCAATTATTAAAACTGTCAGCCAGGCACAGAGGCTCATGCCTGTAATCCCAGCACTTTGTAAGGCCGAGGTAGGCGGGTCACAAGGTCAGGAATTTGAGACCAGCCTGACCAACATGGTAAAACCCCATCTCTACTAAACATACAAAACTTAGCCAGGCGTGATGGTGTACACCTATAATCCCAACTACTCAGGAGGCTGAGACAGGAGAATGACTTGAATTTGGGAGGCAGAGGTTGCAGTGAGCCAAGATCAGGCCACTGCACTCCAGCCTGGGCGACAGAGAGAGACTTCATCTCAAAACAAAAAAGAAAAGAAAAAAAAATTGCAGGCACCTGTAGTCCCAGCTACTTGGGAGGCTGAGGCAGGAGAATCTCTTGAACCCAGGAGGCAGAGGTTCTAGTGAGTCGAGTTGGTGCCATTGCTCTCCAGCCTAGGCAACAAGAAGAAACCAAAAAACCAAACCATCAGATCTCGTGAGACTTATTCACTCTCACAAGAATAGCATGGGAAAGACCTGCCCCATGATTTAATTACCTCCTACCAGGTCCCTCCCACAACACGTGGGAATTCAAGATGAGATTTGGATGGGGACACAGCCAAACCATACCAGGGTCTCACTCTGTTGCCCAGGCTGGTGTGCAGTGGCTCAATCTTGGCTCACTGCAACCTCCGTCTCCTGGGTTCACGCAATTCTTGTGATAGTCAGTGGTAGCTGAGACTACAGGTGCGTGCCACTATGCCCAGCTGGCTCACTCTTCACTAGCAAAATGGTTGTACAAAGTCTTCAAAGGAAGCAGGTGCTTTACAAGATGATACCCATCCTCTCCAGGATCTATTGCCACTTCCCCTCCTGGCAATAAAACAAATAACGAGGACTGAATTCCAGCAAAGACCCAAAGAGAATGTTCTGGCCTACTAAGAGAAGGGAGGAAATATGTGGTAAAGGAACTTCAGGATCTGGCTAATATATACCTGCAGATTGGGTGGAGACACATGGAACCGGATATGAGACTGTTGGATTGAGAGAGGTGGAACATGTTAGATATGTAAGAATTTATCCATATGGGAGCACTCGACTGTGACATAGAATTCAACATCCTGGTGTAACCACCCAGTGGGTTCACCTTGCCCACTGCCTAGACAGAGATGATTTATCAAGGCAGGGGAATTGCAATAGAGAAAGAGTAATTCACACAGAGCTGGCTGTGCAGGAGACCGGAGTTTTATTATTCCCTAACATTAGGGAATCAGAGTTTGTTTGTTTGTTTTGTTTTGTTTGTTTTTTTTTTTTTTTTTTTTTTTGAGACGGAGTTTCGCTCTTGTTGCCCAGGCTGGAGTGCAATGGCGCGATCTCGGCTCACCGCAACCTCCGCCTCCTGGGTTCAGGCAATTCTCCTGCCTCAGCCTCCTGAGTAGCTGGGATTACAGGCATGCGCCACCATGCCCAGCTGATTTTTTGTATTTTTAGTAGAGACGGGGTTTCACCATGTTGACCAGGATGGTCTCGATCTCTTGACCTTGTGATCCACCTGCCTCGGCCTCCCAAAGTGCTGGGATTACAGGCTTGAGCCACCGCACCCGGCCTCTTTTCTGTTTTCTTTTTGGGAGTCGTGCTCTGTTCCCCAGGCTGGAGTGCAGTGGGGCAATCTCAGCTCACTGCGACCTTTGCCTCCTGGGTTCAAGCGATTCTCCTGCCTCAGCTCTTGTAAAAATTGGTTAGATCATGGCAGATGGCAGCAGTGTACCATAAACTTAACCAAACAGCAACCCAAATTGTCGTTGCTGTGTCCCACGTGGTAACTTTGTAAAACAGTTTAATATAGCCTCTGGGTGTTGATGTGTAGCCATTAATTTGGTTGGCAAATGTTATTTTCCATCCCAAATGGATCAGAAAGGAGAGTCAGAAACAGGATCATTTGCATCCACATGGGAAATGTACTGATGGGCTTGTCCCAAGAGTATGGGTGGGGTTTTTTATGTGTTTTGTTTTGTTTTGTGACAGAGTCTCGCTCTGTCACCCAGCCTGGAGTGCAGTGGAACAATCTCGGCTCACTGCATATTCTGCTTCCTGGGTTCAAGCAATTCTCCTACCTCAGCCTCCCAAGTAGGTGGGATAACCAGTGCATGCCACCATGCATGGCTAATTTTTGTATTTTTAGTAGAGATAGGGTTTAGCCATGTTGGCCAGGCTGGTCCCAAACTCCTGACCTCAAGTGTTCCGCCCTCACTCTTGTTGCCCAGGCTGGGAGTGCAATGGCATGATCACGGCTCACTGCAACCTAGGCCTCCCAGGTTCAAGCAATTCTCCTGCTTCAGCCTCCCAAGTTGCTAGGATTACAGGTGTACGCCACCACACCCAGCTAATTTTGTATTTTTAGTAGAGACAAGGTTTCACCATGTTTGTCAGGCTGGTCTTGAACTCCTAACCTCAAATTATCCGCCTGCCTTGGCCTTCCAAAGTGCTGGGATTACAAACATGAGTCACCATGCCCGGACCCAGGATTATGTTAGCTCTCTGGCCCTCTGTCATAATATACTCTGAAGGTGTCTTGTCTATATGAATATCCTGAAGAACATATTCGTTCCAAAGTAAGCTTCAAAGCAAGTGGCCCAGTCAACTAAATATATGACATTACGCCAATCATACCAGAAGAGCAAGAAGTATATTGGAGGCCTTGGAAAGATACATGTATTCAGAGAGTGGGAAATAAAACCCCACAAAGATTCAGGAAATTGCTACATTGGTAAAATTTGTAGAGGTCCAGTGGTCTGAGACATGCTGGGATATCTATTCAAAGTCAAGGTCAGATATTGCATCTCATGCCTCCGACCACTAAGAAAAAAAGAAGTGCAATACCAATCTTCTTAGGACTCTGGAGCAATATTTCTTTTTCTTTTTTTTTTTTTTTTGAGATGGAGTTTCGCTCTTGTTGCCCAGGCTGGAGTGCAATGACGCAATCTCGGCTCACCGCAACCTCTGCCTCCTGGGTTCAGGCAATTCTCCTGCCTAAGCCTCCTGAGTAGCTGGGATTACAGGCACGTGCCACCATGCCCAGCTGATTTTTTTTGTATTTTTAGTAGAGACGGGGTTTCACCATGTTGACCAGGATAGTCTCGATCTCTTGACCTCGT